ACCAACAATGCACACAATCAGGCGTGGGCCACAATGCTCTGCACCAGAGCCCATTGTACCTGAAAAGATGTTGAATCCAGGACTGGGTGATCGGCGACTGCCCGAGGCGGACGGAACATTTAAACTGGATGGGTTACCACTTGCGTGGAAACGAGCTGAGGGACCTTTAAAATCACGAGGCGAATCAACTGCTTGTGGTCCGGGATTTTGGGCGAAGCCAGTGTTTCTCGGTTGGAGAAATGTGAAAAGTTGACTATCCAATTTGTTCTCGATTATCTCCTGGACAAAAGGGTAAACAAAATAGCTGAATAGCATGATAATGCTTAGTAGTCACGCATGAAGTTGTAACTTGTACATTTTTTACACAGACAAAGTAAACTTAGAGAACATGTCTCATAAACAAGGCGCAAACAGATCGAAAGGCGTAAAATTAACAACAACTGACTGATTCGCTTGCCATATATGGCTGCGGCCAGATTGATTGATTGATCGATCAACTGACTGTTTGAATGCTGCCTTGACGGCATTCGCATGTAGTGCGATGTGTGAGCTAGACTCTGCCTGCCTTTCTACCTACTGATCGTTCCTGCTTGTTCCCCGGTTTGTGTACCGGCTACATATTTGCTGTTTACAATAAACTTATTGCTTCATTCGCTGTGTGCTCATTTGCGTACTAAATTTAGGACACAACATCTTCATTGGATACAAAAATCATTCGGTCCTTATCACTACTGGCAAACATTTGTTCCCAAATGGATAACCTTAATAGAATTAGTAAAGCTTCGCTAGATGCACAATCAATCGTTACCGCTTCTGTGTATAATTGTTCATAATTTATGGAAAAGTAGGCTGACTTGCCGAGGTAACTGAGAGGGTCACGTAGCAATTGTTAAGTGGCGTAGTGTCTCTGCTATGACACAAGTGTGCAAGCAAATCGATGCACGAACTGATGCATTAGATAAGTGAGCACAGTTCTAACGCAGATCGATTTCCCCCAGAGTGGAACCAAGTGAAGATAACAACGAAAGTGACCATGTTTGCATTCACTCCGTGGGTTACCGCAGGTAGAGAAGAAAAACTAAAGAGAACTAAAAGAGTGTTGTGCAATGGACAGGCCAGATTCTAGTCTCGTGGGTGTATTCTGTCAAATACAAGCGGATCGAACTGAATGTACTCCCATTGCTTACTGACATGATTGGCCGGGAATTCCACGTGACGGATGCAATCACCTTAGTGCGATCCTACCACTCTGCAGATGCCTAAATTAGATAAGAGGTAACTGCTTGAAAAGTAGCAGTTAGTTCGTGAGCTTATGTTCGAGAAAAGGTATTTTAACCGTTCGTCGCATACTGTCTAAATTAATCACCAAACCAACAAATTCAAGACAGCTCGAAGAGCCTTCACGCTTATGCACATCTACTGCGGGAATTGATCTAAACTAAATCGGCGTTCAGCTTGGAAACGAAACCCCTATTGGTTTGGGAACACTTGGTCAGCAGAACATAAAAAAGTAAAAAGCAAGTTACGGAAGAGTAAAAAACACACCTGGTCTCGGATGTTGCATACTACGAGGAGTGTTACACTAATCAGATATCACACACACATTGAAAATAGATCAGATTCAGAACAATATTCACATAAAACTAACGAAAAATACCATTTGCACTGAACAGTAGATCCCGATAAAAACTAATGGGTCAAACATATAGAGCACCCAAATCGGGAATAACGGATTGAGTGAAGGGGTGTGTGAGAGAGTAAATCATTTGAAGAGTCAAATCAATTTAGATAAGAAAGCATTGAGCACGATTATAACGGTCTTACGGCTGTACAACTGATGCTTACCTCCATGAGATCGACCAAATACGGTGTCCACCGCGAATGTGCAAATGGTGTGGAATCGAACCGATCCTTGCGCTTGTTTTTTGCAGGTAGAAAGCGTTGGACCCTGTCTGACACTGAGGAAACAGGAGGCAAGCGTTTAAGGCACTCTAACTGACCGAAAGTGATTTGAGAACCACCAGCAACGTCCATACGGTTCGATCCGAACGACATTGGCTGTGTGAGGAACCGGAAAGTTGCATATATGTACGTTCCGGATAGAAGCAAAATCATTCAAGTGACATGGGTGGGTTTGCTTTCAATGTCATATGACTAGCGCTACGGACAGATGAATCAGCAGTGTCATGCTCTACTCAGTGAGATACTTGGATCGGGCTATACAGTTCGGGCATTTTAGCGGAGAACAACATCCCACAGCAAGAAGTCATTCACGACTGATTTACAAATGCGACCTGCACAAATAAGCCTCTGCTGATGACAAAAACCTCTAGTCAAAGTGTGTGGGCAGTTGCAACTGGGCGTTCCGCTTACTTCCGGTTGAATGAGCTGAGATCCGACGAGCAGTGAAAGGCTAGCGAACAAAGCTTTGTTCAATCGAGGTAGTTGAGCAGTGTCCAGTAATTTGTCCAAATGGTTTTCAGAAATTCCATCTGAAAGAAAAAACAAAAAAGCAAACATATGAACCAAAAGATGCTACGTAATTTGTTGCAATTAAGGGAATGAGATGGGTGCCGAAGGAAATGAGATCAGACAGCTGAAGAATTCATTGAATCGCGCAGAATTACCAGAGGTTGGTTTATGGTTGTTGAGTAGTGTTTCCACTGTGCACGTGGGAGTCAAAGTGTTTAGTAGGAATGAAAACAAGCAGAAGATAAGAGTAACTTCTACAAACCTGGGTTGGGAATGCAGGCTAACAAAGAAGCGTCAGTTCGGTAGCAGATTTACCCGGTGGTCACTAACTAACCGATGATTGATACTTTTATTGTTCAGTGCACCAAGGTGTGTATGAAAAACTTATTTTCAAAGAGGCTTTCCTAATTAACAAGAATTGGTTGAATGACCGCTTTTTCAAACGACAGAACGTTTAAAATGGAAGTGAAAGCTGGCGTCGCCATCTTTTTGCCTTAACCTACAATCGGGCATGATGATAAACATAAGTAAAGCAGATAAAAGCCTCCCAAGGCCTCAGTATGGTTGAGGGTGGGTGTCTAGGGTTGCGGTCGGTCACCCTGCCCTTGCACCTCACGAAATGCCCCCATACAAACAAGCGTCTCAAAAAGCCTCTGCTGAGGAAGCCCTACCCACTGCCTTCTCGCGGCGGAGGTATTTTCCCACCAAAGTGAGAGGACGAAAAGCTGATATCCGGGGCTATAGCCGGGTTGGTGGACTACTGGCAGTTCACCTAGGGGAGTTGGCCAAAAACCGTGATTTCAAACCAACCATGAGGAGACGTACGAACCACACCTACACCTTTTCGGTTGTGGCAGTGGTCACCGGCTCGATTGGGCATTGAGGTGTATTGGGCACCTTGGACGTCTGACCCCGTCCGAAGGGCGTATGATCCGATGAACTGGACACCGGCTCCCAATGGACTGCGGTTGTCGCACACCGCTCCGCTGCCTTGCGGGTAAGGCTTTGGCTAGCCGAAGGCTCCGGTTGTGGATTCCTCAAGAAAATTCACCTGCCTTGGCCTGGACAACCTGGCAGTACTCAGCCCACAAGCCAATCATGAAACATTTTCCTTTTTATAAAGATTATTGTACCATGATGTGTTTGGCACACAGTCTGTCCTCAGACAAGTGTGAAATATATAGATAAAAGCTCAGTGTTAATGGAGAGCGAGAAATCTATCAGGACACCTTAAGGGTTACAGACCGATCACTTGTTAATCTGAAAGACCTATACCAGCTCTAAAGATGACAATTTAATCGTGAGCAGAGTAGACTTCGACTTTTTGGTGTTATTTATTGAACGAGGAATTCAAACAGGGGATGTGCACAGTACCTGTTATTTACCGGTTATAACATTGTGACTCACTGATGTATTAAACTGAAAGTTGCTTATTGCATTCTTGATTATCAGAGACTTCCCGATACCCCCCAACAGATTACGGATCTGGGTACCTACGAGGTGCGAGAAGGCAAACAATGAGGAAAAGTACTAGCTTCAGTTTAGACATCCGGGAGGTGTGGTTGTACATCCATTTCCGAATAACCGGGATTTCGGCATAAGCCTGGGCGTAGAGTCAATGTGCGTAAGAAAGGTGGCGCACAAATCACATCAGTCTATTGATTAGGGCATATTGATGCACAAGTGGGGGTATATGACCGAACAGAAGGGCGATTCCCAACGCCCAATTTTGCTCAAAAATGCATTTTGGGCGGGGCATGGATAAACCTTCAATGGGTTTGGGAGGGGGGCAGGATGAGATCAACCACAGAAACAGTATCCGGAAAGCAAGAACGCGTTATCAAAGTTGATGAAGCATAAGGGGTGACGCGTTGAGAGGGCTACGAACACCAGTCAGTGATCGGTGAAAATCACTCGCGAAATGGAACAACGGAGTCAATAAGAGTCTTCAACAAAACCACGTGTTCGCGAAAAGTCAATTCGGGATTTGAATAATCAGTGAAACAAAACCCTTAGTTAATTAGAGAGTACAAGTCAAGGAGTTAAAGGTTTACGTCTAATGAAATCCGTTAATTTTGCCTCTAACATGTGAAATTGCTATGAAACGGACAATCTAATCGAAAGTATAAACAATATATCAGTGTAAAACCATGGCAACTAATGGATACAACGTAACCAAGGTTGTAACCAAGCAACGAATGGTAAGACTGGGAGACCATGGAAGCAGTCACATAGTGAGCAGACAGCCTCTCCAAGTACAATGTGACAGTGAGATTTTCATGAAAAATAATAACGAATAATGTAAAGGAACTAACGTAACTAGAATCATTTAATCACAGACAGGATGCCAAAGAAACAGTGTGCACGATAGTTGTGCTGATGTATGCAAAACAAGTGCTGCATGACGAGAGAAGAGTTCCCAATGAACAAAACGAAACCCATATTTTTAATCCGAAATGACAGACAAGATACGGCAAAAGTACTGAAAAAAGCTGCAGGTTTCTGTAAAAAGTCGCTCGACAGCACACGGTGTGACAAGAGACGCGAACTGACCATAATAGGTATAATGACTTCCGCATTATTAACTTTGAATTACGTTCAACTATGACTGGCACACTGCGATCGCATTACTTTAACCCCACCGATTTAGAAAAACGGAAACTCTGAACCGAATTTATCGAGTGATAACGCGATTCATTGATACATGTCATACCAACCAGAGCAGCATGTGACTGAGCGCCTACCTTTGATTAGTGAAAAGATCATCAACAAGCGAAGTCGATCCTCAACTGAGGCAAAGTCGTAGTTGAACATTTCGACCAGTAGTCGCATGGGATCGCGTACCACATCACCTTGAGCAGTTTGCCCCATAACAAGATCCTAAACATATTACATGTGGGTCGAATGTCGACGGAGTAGGATGAACAAAAGAGTGAAAAAGATTGTGAATTCAACAGTATTAGAACCATACATAGCAACTTAGTGGAAAGCAAGCACAGTAACATTGGCAACAACAACTGCTAAACTGGCCGGGTGAGTAGCACGCTTGGGTTCTGCTTGTGAGGTCCAGGATTCGATGCTTAGTTGGGTCGATGGATTCGCACTGCTGATGAGACCCAACCAGGTCGAAACAGCTGCCCAGTACTTCCTAGCTTTTCAGTTCACGCTTCATTTGCTATATACAAGACGAATTTTCCCTTTGAAATTGAACAAAATCCTCCGTTACTCATATATGAAATTAATTTTAAGTGCGATTCGAGGAAAAGGATATCAACTGGTGCAACCTAATCAATTTGCGCAATATAGCCATTAGCTACGGTACACAGAACTACTGTATCTAGAATAGTTGGTTACTGTACACGTGTATGCACGATCGGACGGCGAAATACGCTAAATCAAGCTTCACTGTCCACTACCAAGCTCACAATGAAAACATAAGTGGATAGGGATTGAGGTTGTTTTGGTGGCGGGAGGAGGAAGGTATACCACAAAACGTACACAATCTAAATGATGCACACTTTTTCAAGCACTCTGAATCGATGAGAAGTGCGAACAAAAGTGATACTGCTACAGGCTCACTTCCATATCTTTTGATTAAACAGTTATAGATTCTTCTGGGTCTTAAAATGGGGAACAGGAGACGACTAAGCTACATAATCGCTCTGTGAATTTCAACATGTTTTGTTTTCACGCCAGTTGTTGATTTCCACGTGCTTTTCTCCAGCCCTGAGTGGCAAGTGAAATTAGGTGTGGTACGGCAACCACTGCAAATAGTACGTCCTAACTTGTGAAGCCTAGTAATCCGAATTCGATTTGGTATCAAATTCTCCATCGCATATTTTACGAGTGCTCTGCCTACTTTATCGTTGCTCTCCTGATCTCTCTATCCTACGCAATCACTGATGATCAAAGATTACCCCGATGTCTAACACACAAGTGAAGGGAATAACAACCGTAAAAGACGAAGTGGTCGCACTGATACAGTGTACGGTACTCTTAAATTTCAAAAGAATATCACACCGACACCATAGGCTTTTTGATCCCACTTGTGCACCTCAAAAATGAGATATGCTTGCAGTTACCTGTTTGTAAAGTGTTTACATTATGAATGAGACAGCCTGCTGGATGAGTAGACGGATCAATTACAGATGACTGTAATTGATCATCCAAATCGAAAGTAGATGCAATTCACAGCATCTTGCACTTTGGATGGACAAAGTACTTGCCAAATGGAGCAATAAAGCGCGTCCATTTAGAAAAGGGCCGTTTATATGTCCTCCACGCATTCCCACAGGTAAACGATATCGTCAGAGTATATACAACTTTTCTGCAGTTGCCCACTTCATATTGTACACTACTCAGTGCGTTTTTACAGTATTTGACCTACGACGCAGTTCATTTAGAGTAGAGAAATAAAACAACCCTGACAAAAACTACTGGTTTCAAACGGTTTTCTCACCCCACTATCAACCCTTACGCTACCAGAAGTATGCGAGTACTGTGATCTCAATGGCGATCCTTTGCGAAGCAGCGAACCCATATGGGTTTCGCGATCAACTCAATCGTAAGGAACACAGTAGTTGTAGATTGACGATGTGTGTGGTATTATTCGAGGACTTGGCACTTATCATTCGCGGATGTTCATATGCCTTAACGGCGTCAGGTGACAAAGTATCATCTACGCTAACACTTCGGTGATGATCAGAACGATCCAAGAATTGCTCCAAAATAAACAGGTATTCTCGTTCGACCAAATGCCACGTAGTAATACAGTTACAGCTACTGCTCTTCTCTTAGTTAAAAAAGAACGGAGAGAAAACCGTTGGGTCCCACTGCCTACTTTGTTTGAAAATTGAATACTGCCTCATGCTTCTAGTTCCGTTGGGGGACTCATTGTTTCTGCCGTAACCAACAGAATAACCGCAACAGAACCAGTCTAGTTGAACCATTCATTAAAACATATTCTACAGCGATTACGACTTTGTTCTTTATTGTGGAAGCCCTGCCCACGTGTACAGCAAATGGGTTTACTAACTGATAATGCAATGGCCTCCGGGGCTGTGTATCAGGCGAATCACTCATGGATTATTCCCTGATGCACAGGCTACCTCCATTTCATTACCTATTTTGGTCTACCAGTTTTTATGGTACTTTGTTAAGCTTCTCTTGAGTTGACTTCGCAGACACCACCTGTTCCTCTACTGATCCTGACAGATCGGGAGCTTTGGCTTTTATTCAATCAAAACTCCATAGGTATCCAATATCCTCGACGAACCTCGGGCTCGGCCCATCAAGTACAGTTCACTGTGAAACGCATCGCACGTCTACTCTGATCATTAAGTTCATTCATTCCACCAGATCGCGGTTCACCTGACTTATAACTAATTTTTCCCCTTATAACGGATACAAAAGTGTGAGTCACACACATTATGAGCTAACTGGGGAAGAGATTCTCGCTGATCAATCGCGGCGTGAAGCGTATCAAAACTAGTGCGTGATCAGACGCAAGGCAGATGGTCCAAAAGACATGCAGTTTTGTACAAAGTCACACCAAATGGTCGCTTACAGCTATGTGGTCAATTTGGGGTCAACTTGCTGGTTGACTTAGAACATCATGTTGACGGTTGTTGAGGGTTATGTCGAAAGATGGTCCTGAATGAGAACAACTGCGTAGAACTGAAATAATTCCATGGCCACTATCGGTTAGCTGATAGGGAACAGTGCAACGACCACCTAGAGCAGCCTTCGAAGCGCTCATCTTTCGAACCAGTTCGTTAGAACCACCCGTAGGCACAGCTATATCGGAGTTCGTTGTCGAAATTGTCATTTTGTGCATTACAACTGCATATGATGGTATCGCTTCCGTTCCGGACGCTGAGTGACCCCTGAAGCAGCATCACACATGATGACGGCGATCAAATCAATAAGAAAGGGGGGAACCGTATGAATACAATACCCACCCCACACTGACGTACTGCACAAGCTTCGTTCTCACTTCATGTGCGGAGGAAGTACCTCAAGGTCAAATCCGGCGTACTAAAGTGGCTTATAGTAATCGGATCCTAAATTCGTGACTCCGATAAGCAGCAAACATCGAGCGCTCACGAGTTCATTGTTCGATCCGGACAAGATCGTTGATCCACCTGTATCAGTCCTCACGTTGGATGTTCCCAGAGTCAGTGGCTGACAATGCTTCAGAATATGCCATGGTTAATTACAGTGCTATTTAGCAACGATCTTCGGAGAGCGATAACTAAGTCGGCTGGTCGGTCGGAAGAAGGGGAAAAGGAAGAGGGTCAGATACGGAAGACAAAGAGGCAGAAATTGAGATGTCTGAGCAATAGTCCGCTTATCACTAACATGCCCGCACGATCTAATGGACAGCACGGTACCGAGTATCTTGCGCGAAGACCGATGTAGTATAAGATTATATTTGGTTTGTGTATGCATTATAGTTTGAGGGACGGGTGCTGCTAGGGTGTTCAACCATTAAGTGGGAGAATAACTTTGGTTCTCAAAAAAAGCTTTTTGTTCTGAAAAGAACCTAACCACAA